TCCCAGCCCAACGCAGAATCCTTATTTCTTGCAAGCGAACTAGTAGGTGAGTTCATTTCATCAGACATACATCCCTTTCCTTCAGAAACATAACTCCAAGACTCCATTACAGAAAACTATATGAATCAGTAGAAGCTCGCCCCAAAAGGAAAAGAAAATAGCCTTGAAATTACCCCAAAATTCAAAGAAAAGTTGCAGTTCAGTAGCTAAACATGAAAGATCCTTCATAATCACTGTTCAAAACCTCCAAAACCCCACCAGAACACAACGAAAAGGATACCCATATGAGGTTTCCAAGCCTGCCCCAAATGGGTTTAGCTAAAAGAGAAAAAGAAGAAGAATCTGTCAAAAAGAATCAGATCTCAGAGAACCACAGGGCTGGAAAGCAACAAAATGAACCCGAAAACTATGAACCCTACGGGAATCATTAAAAGGAAAAGGAAGAAATCAAGAACAAAAAAGGAAGCAATAAGCTGAATGCAAAGAAAGTCCCAGAGAAAGAAGAGCTCGAAAAGCCATCAGGGTGCTATAAGAAGGAAGACCATAAAAGTTACTGCAATGGAGAGAGAGAGAGAGAGAGAGAGAGAAAGAGAGAGAAAGAAGAGGTGACTTTATCAGTGCGCACTGTTCATAAGTGGTATTATGAAGAAGGGCTGAAATGGGGTTTCCTTAATGCCAAAGATATTTGTGGTGTGCTACACAAACTCCATGGAAGAGCTTATGAGCTTGTGGCTGCCATTTCTGGGGACACAAGAATTGAAAACAGAGCGTAGAAAAGGAATTAGAAGGTAACGGTTTTGAGGTTTGCAGAGCAGTCGTTTTCCCAAACGAGTTAGCTGCTTTGCTTTGATTAGTTACATAGAAATTGTTTTGGTATTTCCCCCACTCAATTTGGCTCCTTCACGGCCTTGTCTTCGTCAAGGAGGCAACCTTGCTTTCGGTCAACGATTATTACCCAAAGCTTTTAAGACAAATTAAAAACCTGTTTCTTTCTTTCCTCAATCATTTGGTTATTAAACAGTTAAACCTTCCCAATTTCCCTACCTAATCTTATCTTCACCATTTTATTCTTTTTTCCCTTTGAATTATTTTTATATATTTTCTACAGCTTCAACAGTGCAAGACTGTTCATTTTCTTGTAGCAATTCTCTTAAATAGTTTCTTGAAATCCAACCATTCTCCTAATTCCTTGAGTTTTTTCTTATAAATGCAAGACGATTAAGGTTCATTCCCGGCAATGCCCCCATGTAAATCCCTCTAATTAGTTGATTTGGATCCTTGAATGAGTACCAAAATGAGTGGTTTGATAGTTTTGATCGTAGACACACAGATATTGATCTCCTTAGCTATGCAAAAGTTTTAAATATTCGAGTGCATACATGTCTATGCACAATATGCAATCGTTAAATTAGTAAAATATCACCGTTTGTGGATTCGAAGAACTTGGAACAAGACCCCGAACAAGTGGTATTAGAGCAAAAAGTTGGCTAGTGTAGGTCAATATGATTAAATATTTTGTCGGTAACATTTAAGCCCTTCATTTCAACTCGGGATTTTTTCTTTTTCTTTTTAAAAAATGGAAAAATAATCTATTTTGAAAACGGGGAACATCTAAAAAACGAGCCAAAAATGATTTTTTTTATATTTTTTTTTAAGTTCGTACTTTTATTGTTTGAAAATTCAACAAAAAAGGGGGCAGAAGGAGAAGGACCATTCATAGTGGAAATAAATAAGGTGAGAGGGACAAGTATTTAAGCATGAAATTTCAATTAAGAAACTTATTTATTTATTTATTTATTTTGTATGTCGGGATCTAAAAGACAGGCCCCACATCCACTGTCGTATTTTAATAATTTTACCTCCAATTTTTAACTTTATATATTTAATATTTTCAACTTTATATACTTAGTATTCATCCAACGCTCCCATCTCTTTTCTCTCTCAAACATTTAATCATTAATAAATTACATTTGGTATATTCTCTTTGGTTTTCCTTTATATACATATAATATATATAATTTTAATATTAATTTTAAACAAATCTTTCATCTATAATTTCTAATTTAAAACTATTTTCACCTATTTTCTAAAAATTTAAAGGGTCACTAATAAAGAAACACAACGATTTGGGTGGTTTAAAAAGACACAATCTTCTACATCATAGGTAGTAGTCGATCACTATAACGAAAGTGTTTATAAAATCTCGATTCCGAGCAAATACAAGATGGCACTCACTCCACGTCTCATAACGATACTAGACATAATAGCAACATCAATATTCATACTTGGATTAAAACTACATTTATATTCATACATAAATCAAGATGATAATAATGAACTAAATGAATCAAATAAGTATATAAATCGAATTGCAATGGAGAATGAATTGAAAGAAAGTGCCTTCGAATCTCACTGTTCCAACTGTTCTGATTTTTTTTTTTTTTTTAATAGATAAAACGTGTATACAGTATTAAAATTCAATATTTTAAATTTATAGGAGTTTAATTAATACAAAATTAAAATTTTAAATGTTTTAAATTGAATACACAAATAACTTATAATTTATTTATTTATTAAGTAATTGTTGTTTTAAGTCGAACACTTCAATAAAGCATTGATTTAGATGGTTTGAATTTAAGCAGCCGAACGTCTTAAATTTACTGCACACTCGGGAGGGTTTACCCCCCACAAGAAGTTAAAAAGATAGGACCCCTCCCTTAGGGTTGGTAGATATAGAACAAGTGGGCCAGGTAATAATAACTCACAGTAAATATTATTAAATGTTCATTTACCTTATTTTTACCGTATGGATATATATGATATTAAATTAAATAGATTAATATAAATATTTTATAACTTAAATTATTAACTTGATTTCTTATAATTAAAAAAAAAAAAAAAAAAGAGTTTCTATACATTTAAAAATTAAGATTTCGCCTTTTAGGAACAATATGAACATAGGTTTATCCATTTCTTTTAATTTAATTAATTTTATATTCCATATCACTATTAATTATCTTTAAAAAAAAAATTGATTTTAACCGTAGAATTTAAGGAAAAAAAAAACAAAACATTATGGAGTTTTGAAAGTTCCCATGTCTATGGACCAAAGTTTATTTAATGAAGCCAACAAGGTGGTAGTTGCTCCCCCACAAACAGCTGCCTCTCGTCCTCCTCATGAATACCCTTTTTAATTTCCTTTTTTATTTATTTAATGTTACAAATAAAATAAAAAATCTATAAAATAATTTATCTTTACCTAGACTTTTTAGTTGAACAAAACCAATTTTATTTAAAAGAAATAAATAAACATAAAGATTTTTCTTTATTTTATTTTATTTTATCAAAGCTCTTTCACAATTTAATTATTATCCAACAATAAATAAAGAAATAAATACTTTCATCAATATCAAGTACAAATTAAAAAGGACCCACATTATAATAATTTTTTTTAAACAAGATTTTAATTTATTTAATTTCCCAAAAATATCATTGACCATATAATCACTATCAATGCCCTCCCATTATTATTGTATTAATGGATTTAAAACATTTATACTTTTAAAAAAAATTATTTTATACTTTTTCAAATTATTTTTATTTCTAAAATCATAATATTTTTTTAAATAGAGAAATTTGAACCTCAAAATGTTTGGTTGGGCCGAAAAAATTGGGTAAGCCCATTAATGAGCCCACCCTATAATATGACTTATTTATTTATTTTTATATATATATCGTAAATGGTTTTTTTTCCTTCTAATTTAAACTTTAATTTACCATATATAATATATTATTTTATCCCATTTGAGAGTGATTTTTTATAAAATAATTACCAGCAATTATTTTTAATTTTCATGTGATTATATTTTAATATTATTTATTAAAATACACACATTTGAAATGTTAGCAATAAAATAAGGACACCAAACTTTGGATAAACGTTATGAATACATTTAAAAAAAAAAAAAAAAAAAAAAACTTTGGGATATTTTATTTTCAAGGATCTTTTGATATATTTAAAATAAATTGGATTGCAATTAAATTTGAAGTTCTAGAATATTAATAATGAGGTTGACATTCCACTTCATATTGCAAATCTCCCTACCATATGGATCTCCACCATCAAATTTATTGGGTATTTTCCCACTTAATTTCTTTTTCTTTTTCTATTAATAAAAAGTTTGTTCCTATAATTTCATAAAATACATATTAATTATAGTATTTAAAATTGATAATAAGTTGTATAAACTGCTCTTTATTATAATAATAATAATTATTATTATTATTATTAAACTAATTTATTCATACGTGTTCAAATTGGGAAATATTGTTTATTATCAACTACGAATAATCTGGGCTTTGCAGACGTGCGGAAATATTTAATAAATCCGTACTTAAAATAATTCTAATATTTATGTGGAAAAAAAAAATATATCAGGTAGATGACGTATTTGACCTTTGCATATTTATAGTTTTTATTAATAAATAATATTTTGAAGTCTATATTAACAACGATATTGTAGTTAAGATGGTTAGGTTCGTTTATAATTTTGGGTTGGTCGAGTTAATTCAATCCAACCTAAACTAATGGAGTGAGTGGTCCGAATTTATTGGGTTCTCGAGTCATACGAGTGTCCCCAATTGACTCTACCTATCCCAATATGTTAACAAATCTATCTGTCCTGGAATCATATTTATGGTTTAAATACTACTTTATTATGTTATTTGTAAAAATTATCATTTTTATTTAATAAAGTTTGATACAAATTAATTTCAAACGGGGGTGATATAACTGATTTAAGATTTATTAGAATTATAAAATTTAAAATAGAATGTAATCTAGAGTGGTGAGGTTAAAATGGTATTTTCACATAATTGAGTATTTTTAATGCGTTTAATTTAGAATTGAAAATAATAATAATAATAAAAAATGAAAATTTGATTTGTTTGATGTATTACGCCAAAGAATTTGATTTAAAAAATTGTGGAAGCATTGCATGGCAATAGGAAATGGAAATGGATAGAGAACCAATATATTAATTCAATTTCATGTCAAGCACGTTCAAAGCGGTGCCCAACCATCCTGAAGAAAACGAAGAAAAATCGAGCAAGAACAACGCCGTTGATGAATTTGGACTGCCAGATGAACGAACCCAACATTTTTCAATTCCAAATGGCAATCATGGCGTATCTAGACTTTGATGTCATTCCTCTTACGACTTATAGTTATAAGTACCTGATTTTCTTCAACCCATCACGGGAAAATGGCTAAGAAACACACCCGATTGCAGAGGTTGAGAGTTTCTCAATCGTCGGCTTGTTTCAAGGTCTGTTTCCAGCAGATTCGAACCAGACCCACCGGCGATTTGATTAAGACTTGTCAGAAGGAGGAGCTATTAGGGCATGGGGCGGATGAGTATTGCACGGACAGCGCGAAGTCTGTGGCTGAGATTGGTAATCGAATCATGGTTGTGGTTGATTCTAGTTTTGGGGGCAAAGGGGCTCTTGAATGGGCTTTGTCTCATGCTGTTCAAAATCAAGATTCTATTATTCTTCTTCATGTTGCCAAGTCTTCAAAACAAGGTTAAAATAATACAAGCTTTTATTTGTGTCGATTAGCTGTTTTTGCTGGGAGCTCATTTTCTGAAGGTGTTGATGTCTTGCAGGCGTTGTGTTTGATGAAATGCTTGACATGAAGGTTTATCAACTTCTTCTGTGTATGAAGAATATGTGCCAAATGAGAAGGCCAGGGGTAAGTTTCTTCATACCTTCCATCTTCTTTTCCATAGGAGAATACATGGATGAAAGGAAGAGTTCTTGACAGATAACACTGAACAACAATACATAATCAAAGTTTAGTGTAAGAATATGCTCTGTTAGTTTTGCTTTTAAAATCTATACCATATGGCTAATTGGGATGATGTTCTCCGTTAGATCAATCATTCCAATGTTCTGTTCTATCTGTGAATGGCGCAAATTTGAAATTCTTGGCTTAGATATCAGGTGAATGTTGATTAAGCAGACGAAGTTAATTATAGAAACCTGGCACTAAAAAGGAACCCAACTGGGATAATTTAGAACAAAAGTGATGTGGGATGCGTTATTGATTAATTTCAGGTTAAAGTGGAGATGGAATTCCTACAAGGGAAGGAGATGGGTCGTGTCATTGTGGAAGAAGCAAAGAAACAGCGAGTGTCTTTGCTGGTTCTTGGGCAAAGAAAGCAGTCACCATTCTGGTCACTGGTAAAGAAGTTCAGTACAAACAAGAGAAGGAGTCATGGCGGGATTGTGGAGTACTGCATCCAAAACTCTTCATGCCCGACCATTGCGGTGAGGAGGAAGAGCAAGAAACTAGGAGGGTATTTGATCACTACAAAAAGTCACAAGAATTTCTGGCTTTTGGCTTGAATCTGTGTTAGAATTTGTTCCTTCCAGCTGCCATTGCTTTTTGTGCGGAGGAAAACAAGATGGAAATTGTGAGGCTTCTGATATTGTAAGTCTTATTTGACCTCACTTTTTGCTTCTTTTATGATCATGAGTGGCTGTATTACTCAAAAGTAGAAACCCACAAAAAGAAAATGATGTGGAAATTTGTAAATGGATCTTCTGTTTCCACTTTCTTCTTGTTATTTGATCCAAGCTAGATGATTATCATTCATGCATTTAGGAGTGAGCTTTTGCTGTCTCTGTCCTTTACATGAGATTATTAGAACCCATAGATTTCTTGGTAAAAATGGAACAAAAAAGTGAAAACTGATTGAAAATGATATTTGGAAAGAATCTTCCTTGATAAGTTTTGAAGTCGAATTAACTGAGCAGAGTTTTCCACCTTCCATTGCAATCACTGTTAGACTTTCTTTCTGCTTTCTCATCATGTTCAGTTTGAGAATGCATGACCAGTACATCTGAAAAAGCCGAAAGGTTGGTCGCACGAACTTAGGCCAGCAAGATTCGTTAAAGAATAGATATAGTTTTTTTAGTTCAATAGTCTATGGAGTGATGGGGTGAGGGATTCAAAACAGTGACCTCTTCGTTGAGGGTATATGTCTTTTCTTTATGAAGCTATGTTTAAATTGTAACGGTCCAAGCCTTAGCAGATACTGTCCTCTTTGGGCTTTTCCTTTCAAGCTTCTCCAGCGTGAGATCTCACATCGGTTGTGGAGGAGAACCAAACATTCCTTATAATGGTGTGAAAACCTCTCCGTAGCAAACACATTTTAAAAACTTTGAGCGGAAGCCCACACGGAAAAGCCTTGATGATTGACTAGTTTATGAGATAGTATTGGCCAAACTGTGGATCATTTTAACCGCACACTTCTCAGTATGTAAAGATCTAACTCGAAGCTCGCTGGTAAGGGAAAACCAGTTGGATTCCGACAGGTACTGAAAGAAACAGCCAGCCTAAGTTAATCAAAGTTTGTGCCCTTCACATCATACATTTCTTTTCTGTAGTCAAGGCTCTGATAACTGAGAAGTCCCCACCTCAAAATTTAGCAGGAAAAGACTCTTTCTACCTATTTTCTTGTGGGTTGTTTGGCTACACTCTTTCTCTATCCTTTCTGTGGTTGGGCCTGTAAGCCATCCCAAGTTAGTCTCAGAGAAATAGTTGGGTTTTGCCTGTAAGAGCTTGTCATTGCTTAGTTGGTTTGCCCTCAGAAGTAAATGCTGTGTGTCGGCGCAGGGCTTTGTTTGTTATTCACTGCAAAGTCTGCAACATATTCTTTTCTTTTACTCAGTGGCTGATTAAAGTTGCCTTAAATCATTGAATTCTCTCTTTTTCCAAGTTGGGTGCAACAAAAATCTTCCTTCTCACATTCATCTGCCCAAGTATAATAAATTTATTTTTTAACAAAAGAAAATCCAATGTACAAAATATAATAAATCACGAACACATCTAGTTGGTTCGGAGCCGAACCGTTAAATTGTTGAGTCATATTAAACCATATGAAACGTGGATATGTTTCATATGGATGTGACAGTTTATATATACTTAAAAATAAGGTATACATTTTATATACTTATAAAAGGTAAGTATTTTATAAATTATTAAGCCATGTTAGGTAGTTAACTATGAATGAATTTAAGAGCAAAGTTCAATTATTTATTTTTATAAAGACATCATTCAAATATAGTTGTTTGTGTGAAGTTATTTTTGTTCCTACTTACGAAGTAATAATTAAAAATCGTATTATGTCGTATCAACAATCAACCTAACTCGGTCTTTCAATTTTGTTTTTTTCTTCACTATTTCGTATATTTAAATTAACGTCTAATTGTAATGTACAAGTATTCAATGATGGTTGATTTATACCTGTAATTTTTCTTTTGGGACTGTAGGTTAAAATCTTCATATACATAAGTTAAAAAAAAGATAACAAAATTGAATGAAACTAACTTTTTTTAATTAAAAAAAAAAAACCCAGCAAGCAAATCATCACAAATTTTCAATTTGGTTACAAAGTAAGTTTTTTTTCTTTTCAACAGAAGTAAATGGAGATGAAAAATCCTTAGTGGGGGCAAAAAAAATGGTAAATTTTGATGTGTTTGGGTAGTGTAGTGACACAATCGCACTTTTGAAAGCACCGGACTAGCGATTGTGCGGCACTCACTTTCTAACGACAAGTGAGCTAAGCCAATTTGCCCTTGTGTCGCCTACGGCCAAGTGACGTATGATCGAGCCTCTAGCCTCGGTTTTAAAAGAAGATTTTAGAAAACGAGGGTAGAGAGAGATTTTAGAAAGAGAGATTTTTGGAAGAGACGTTATATAAGTAAGCAAGAGAGAGATAACAACAACTTATCATATATAACCTTGGGTAGAGGTAGGGAGAAGTTGACAACTAGTCATATCAGCCTATAGTACATTCTGAGGTATTTCATGTCTGGCAGGCTTAGACATGATATTTTTGAGGCGTCGTATCCTCTGTAACTTCAAAAAGTAAAAACACTGGAATGAAAAGACATGACAAGGGTTTGACTTGCCATGGGCAACACGCCCTGAACTAGCATGACTGTGACACGTAGCAACGTGTTGCCAAAAGAATTAGCATTTTACATGGTAATTACAATTCAACTTAATCTCGCTGGCTCATCAGGCGACTACAAAACCGCAGCACATGCTCCCATGAGCTGTGCGTTTCCTTAGCCTATGCTCCATTCAGACCCCCTTTTCATTTTTGGGAGAGACCGTTTTGTGAATTTATGAATTTCATTACTGCTATAGCTCATACAGATCAGCCTTACTCTTATTAGTCATTGCCTTGTAGACTGATTCTGATTCTGGGTACTTATTCTTTGCCTTCTCTTGGGTTTTTAGATTCAATAAAAAGGTGGGCATTTCTCACAACTGAACAGCCTCTATTGACTTGATCGAGATTAAGGCCCACAGTGATTGTAGATTCAATACTCCAACTTCTTCTACCTTTTGATTGAATCTGGGAGATGGGTCAGTTCGGATTCTTGATTTCGTGTTGAATCGGGGGAAGTGATCCGTGAAAATGAGGCGGCGGCCTGCCGACTTCCGTCGCCCGGTTCGACGGAGGTTTACGCATTGGATCTGGGCGCTTTTTGGGGTTTTTACAATCGTAGGACTCGTTTTGTTTGTAGTTCATCACAACCAGAGTGAAGATCGCATCGAACAGCCCCTCCTGGTAATGCCCCTCCTCCTAATTTACTTTTACGTTTTCAACTTCTCGATTTCGATTGTATTGATTTCTTCCAACTTGTGTTTTGCCGAATCATTGCCTACTCTGCTGCTCTTACATTTATGAATTCAATTGTTGTTGCTTTGATTTGAGGTTTCTGAGCTCAACATGATATAATCATGTTGTTCTTCCCTGTATATTTCCATTAGTTTTATCGTGGTATTAGCAATAAGAATCTTGGATAGTAATGTGGTTTTATCAATGGCTGTCATTATACGCTTCCAGTTCTGTTCATCCATTCATGGATATCAAATTTGTGAAGCAATCTTGTAGGTAAAGAGTGTCTTCTATGGCTTAATTAATATGTTTAGGAGTTTGGTTTGAATCGATTGTGTACTATACATAGTCTATTTTAGGTGGCCCTACTCTCACAAAGGACCACAACTATGGAGTAGCTGAGGTAATAATTAGGAGACCTTTTTGTTGTTTACACTTGTTTAAACCTTGATGTGGAATTTACTCTCATCTGATGTGAGAATTAATGAGGAAATTTGCTGTTTAGACTCTTCTGCCAATGAGATAGAAATGGTTGAAGTTAAGCAATGTGGTCAGATGAATGTGGAAAGAAGAGTATTAAAGAATAAGAGATTTGCCACTATTTGTTTGAAGTAGAGCAGGTTTGGATGGACACAAGATACCTTAAAGTTAAGCAAAATAGATCTCGGGGGTGCGTGTCACTTCTCTTGTTAAATTGTTGATCTCTCGTTGGAATAACTGGAAGAATACTGTAACGGCCCAGATCCACCGCTAGCAGATATTGTCCTCTTTGGGCTTTTCCTTTCGGGCTTTCCTTCAAGGCTTTAAAACACGTCTATTAGGAGAAAAGGTTTCCATAAGGGTGTTTTGTTCTCCTCCCCAACCAATGTGGGACATCACAAATACATTTTCGTGGCTTTTGAACGCTTTGCTTAGAAAATGGTATGAGGAGTGTGAGATCTCATATCAGTTGGGAAGGAGAACGAAACGTTCTTTATAAGGGTGTGGAAGCCTCTCCCTAGCAGATGCGTTTTAAAAACCTTGAGGGGAAGCCTGAAAGGGAAAGCCCAAAGAGGACAATATCTGCTAGTAGTGAGCTTGGGCTGTTACAGATCATCAGTTTCATGGTTCTGACATGTTTTTGGTGATAATCACCACCATTTGGTTGAACATTAATACTTGAAAGCAAATTAAAATATAGGTTCAGATTACTCGTATGAGGCAATGCAAAATGTCATACGTTCTCGCTGGCTCAACTCTTAACGATGATTACTTCTGCTGTTTTTGAAACAATATAGTTGTTGTTTAATGAGGTAAAACTTTTAAATATTGTTCTTTTCTGGTTGTATAATTGATTTGCATTGCATTGGCTGCCGATCAAATACCATACAGAAATATAGAAGATAAAAGCGGTTTAAACAGGAAGGGTATTTGTAACAGCATAAGCTCACCGTTAGCAAATATTGTTTGATTTGGCCTATTACGTATCGTCGTCAGCCTCACGGTTCTAAAACGCGTCTGTTAGGGAGAGGTTTCCACATCCTTATAAAGAATGTTTTGTTCCTCTCTCCAACCGGTGTAGAATCTCACGGTATTACAGCAAATTTGGACTGTAGTAAATAGTTGTTTATCATCTTATAGAATATATGTAGTTCAAATCGAATAAAACATCAATGGTCAGTCATCTAAGTTGAGCAGATGTGCAAGGGAAAAGAAACTCATCGTAATTTACGAGAGTAAAATGAACAGCACCGTTACACGTAAGCTCTGCGTATGTCCGACTAGCAGCACGTAAGCTCTACGTTGCTGGTAGTGCTTCAGTCCTCTTCATGGTTTTTCCTTTTTCTTTTTCATTGCATATTACGGCTTAAATGTTGAGTAGCTGACTCCTTGCATGACCACTCTTTCTTGCAGGAGAGAAACTCAAGAATTGAACAAGTTGCTCATGACAGATTAAATTTCACCGAAGAAATATCGAGTGCCACATCGTTTTCCCGACAATTATCGGAGCAAATCACACTTGCGAAAGCTTATCTTGTTATTGCCAAAGAGCATAGCAATCTTCATCTTGCTTGGGAGCTGAGTTCTAAAATCAGAAGTTCTCAGCTATTGCTTTCAAAAGCTGTGATGAGAGGGGAACCCATCACTCTAGAGGAAGCAGAACCCATAATCAAAAGCCTGTCCGCTTTAATATTCAAGGCTCAAGACACTCATTACGATATTTCAACGACAATAATGACAATGAAGTCTCATATTCAAGCCCTTGAAGAGCGGGCGAACGCTGCCACGGTCCAGAGCACAGTGTTCGGGCAACTTGCAGCTGAAGCTCTTCCTAAGAGTCTTCACTGCTTAAATGTGAAACTCATAGCTGATTGGATGAGATATCCTTCCTTTCAAGAACAGGCAGATGAAAGGAGAAACTCCCAGCGTGTCGTGGATAATAATCTCTATCATTTTTGCATATTTTCGGATAATGTCTTGGCGACGTCTGTTGTTGTCAATTCTACTGTTTTGAATGCTGATCATCCAAAACAGTTGGTCTTCCACATTGTCACAAATGAGATCAACTATGGAGCTATGCAGTCTTGGTTCCTTAGTAATGATTTTAAAGGATCCACAATAGAAGTTCAGAAGATTGAGGACTTCTCTTGGCTAAATGCCTCTTATGCTCCTGTTCTGAAACAAATGCTCGATCCAAATACACGAGCGTATTATTTTGGAGGGCTTCAAGATTTGGCAGTTGAACCGAAACTGCGGAACCCGAAGTATCTGTTGCTGTTGAACCATCTTCGGTTTTACATTCCAGAGATCTATCCACAGCTAGAGAAGGTAGTATTTCTTGATGATGATGTTGTAGTCCAGAAAGACCTCACGCCACTATTTTCTCTCGATTTGCATGGAAACGTGAATGGAGCAGTTGAAACCTGCCTCGAAGCATTTCATCGTTACTACAAGTACCTGAATTTCTCCAACTCGATCATAAGCTCCAAGTTCGATCCACAGGCATGTGGATGGGCCTTTGGAATGAATGTTTTTGATCTCGTTGCATGGAGGAAAGCAAACGTAACTGGTCGGTATCATTACTGGCAGGAACAAAATGCTGACGGTTTGCTTTGGAAGCCAGGAACTCTTCCTCCTGGTTTATTAACCTTCTACGGGCTAACGGAGCCACTAGACCGGAGATGGCATGTCTTAGGATTAGGATATGACCTGAACATCGACAACCGGTTGATCGAGAGCGCAGCTGTAATTCACTTCAATGGAAACATGAAGCCATGGATGAAGCTGGGCATAACAAGGTACAAACCTCTCTGGAAACATTATATAAACCAAAGCCACCCTTATTTTGAAGATTGCATTACAAGTTAAAAGTGAAGTACTACTTTCATTTGGCACTTCCAGTACCTTTCACCAATGCTTTCATTGTAGATTCAAAAAGTAGACAATTTTGAGTATGTTAGGAGGTTTTGTTTTCTCCGCCCTTGTTTATTGAGATCAGAAAATTGAATGTTCTTTTTTTTTTTTTTTTTTTTTTT